CCCATCCAATGAGGAGAAGGGGGACATGTTTATGACCATTAATGGATTTAGCAGCGACATTGTTACCACTTTATAATCACACAGTCCATTTGTAATTCTGATCTGGGCTTGGACTCTCCTGCTGTCCTCGCCTGCCCCCTGCTAAGCCATCTTCCTTTCCTCCCACAGACTTTTGGCTCTTCCTGCCTCAGGAGGATTTCTCAGGTGGAGCACTGGGGAGGTGACAGCCCCCTTTCCACAGCACTCCACTGGCTTAGACAGCTACATTTGCCCTGCACCAATAAAATGCATTTAGCCTTGGCCTGTGGGACACGTAAATCCTTCAGGGTCTATTTATATATAATGTTGAATATTTTTATTTTCCCGTCCAAATGTCCTCTCTGTGTCTCTCCCTGTTGTAAAACAGTGGCTTTCAGACATTTTTTTTTCTATTGCTGAACACTTTGTTTGGCCTCATTCTCATGTGGAACTCTCAGTGTTTGCAAAGCAACATGAACCTGGTGTGCTTTGAAGTAATAGTGGAAAGAGGGGATCCAGAGCACGGCTTAATTCTACCCCTACTCCCATGGGCCCTGAAAAGGGGCTATCAAAGGGAAAGAAAGGAAATGAAAGCCATGAACTCCCGGACAGGACAGCAGGATAGTTTATTTCCTTCGGAATATACCTGGGCTTGCTTATTATAGGACACTAAAATGGTAGCACTGCAGCTGATATGTGGATCAATACCCCCCCCCCTTTGTTATAGGTTCACACTGTCTCCCACTGTTCCTGAAACTGAAGATTTTCTCAGAGAGGGCTCCATTTTAAAGTGTTAAAGACAGTTTGTGTATCTGTATTAGAAGAACAAACTGCTCCTAAGCACATGGAGGCTGTTAGCGGAGAAGCTAGCTGACACAGGACATGAATTTTTTTTCTTTCGAGACTTACTTTTTAGGTACACTAACTCTAGTAAAAGTACAATAAAATCATTTTTCGTTAATGAATGGTGTGGCTCTAGAAAAAGGTTATATCTCAGTTACTGGGACAGACTTTGGGAACATCCCATAATTCACATTTGTATTAATTTAAAGTGACTTTTCCGTAAGACAAAATGAGTGGATCTTACTTTTAGAAGACAGTTTGAGAAAATGTTTCTTTCCTTCTAAGAATATATACAGTATGAAGGTATAATACTGTGGCTGGAGACATGGCTCATTGGTTAAGAGCACACACTGAGGACTCAAGTTCAGGTCCAAGCACCAGGTCAGGCAGTTCACAAGTGCCTGTGACCCCAGCTCTAAGGGATCTGATGCCTTTTCTGGCCTCTCTGGATACTGCGTTCATGTGCATATATACACACACTCATAGACAAACATAATACCTTAATTATAACATTCAGAGTCCATCAAGTGTTCCTGGAGCGTGAATCAGCAAGCCCTGAAGGTGCTATGCTAACAGTGGGGTAGTACTGACCTTGAGGGTTCTCATAGGCTGATGGACGGGGGTTGAAGTGAGAACATGTGTAATAAATACATGAATAGCTTATAAGGCCATAGTAAAGAGCATCCTCTGCCTAAAGCAGTCAACAGCTCTGATCTAGAGGTTGGAAAGCATTTGCCAAGTGGGCAAGTGAGCACAGTACACTCCAGGGATAAGACAGAACACAGGGAAGCACAGAACATTACATGCAAGTTAAAAACCTGACATGGCATTCTGGCTGCTGAGCATGAGACAGTACCTGAAGCTCTAGATCCCATGAATGCCCATCCTAGTAGAGGATGAATATGTGTATAGCAGAGGACAAATCACTAAGCATAAATAAAGGGACAGGGTAAAAATGAAGCAGGGATTCAGGCTCATTTGAAGGGGTTTAAAGGGCAAGCTTGGGAATTTTAATTTTAAGGTAGATCTCTGAGTGATGACCCATGTATTCTCTTGAGCAGCCTTGACCATGACTTCATGTGCATTAAAGCCACATGCTGCATGTAAAAGATCAGCAGCATTCATCCTGGCATTCATTTGAGCAAAGCACCTTGGGTTGCATTGATACCGTCTGTTGTGTGGGTATAAAGATGCCACACCAATGGATTTAAGATATAGGAAACAAAATGAGAGCAAGTGCTATAGGAATTGGGTGGAAAGGAGTGGCCTTGCACACTGGCCTTGGGCTTGAACCCAAATTTGTCTTGCCGGTCAATAGCCTGGAGTGTGCACATGACTTTACTTGAGGCATCCAGGTGGAGAACAGTAAATGCTATGCCAAGATGTACCCACTGGGTACTTTCAATATTGCCGGAGTCACACAGGCTTCTGTGCAAAGTGCAGTGATGTGTCACCTGGGAGCCAATTTTTTACCCTTAGTTTGAAAACAGGGTCCTATAGCTGGAGAATTTTCTCTCTGGGTCCTGCCAAGCCCTGGCACTCTGACAGCCCACTTATAAAATAAACACACAGATGCTTATATTATTTAAACTGTTTGGCTTAATGGCTCAGGCTTCTTGTTAACTGTTCTCATACCTTAAATTAACCCATTTCTATAAATCTGTACCTTGCCACATGGCTCGTGGCTTACTGGCATCTTCACATGCTGCTGGTCATGGCAGTGGCTGGCAGTGTCTCCCTGACTCAGCCTTCTACTTCCCAGAATTCTCCTCTCTCCTTGTCCTGCCTACTTCCTGCCTGGCCACTGGCCAATCAGTGTTTTATTTATACAGAAGGATATCCACAGCAGGGTTCAATCATGTTGACTCCTGTCTGGCCCCTTCCTCTTCCACTGTTGTCTTGCAGTTTCTTGAAAGTGTACCACATGCAACTTTCCATAGGGACGATAGATTGTTTTTATGAAAGTCATTCTAATGGCTTCACCTCTAGCAGAAAGAGTGTTTTTAATGACATTTTTTGTATAATGTGCAGTTTCTATCCATTAAGCAGAGCCCATGTAGGTTGACTATTTCTGATGTGTTCAGGTGATTCTGCTCTCAGGCAGAGTTAAGAAAGACATCAACTTGCCCTGCATACATTACATGGTTATCATTCTTAACAACTGACTTCAATGATCATTTAAACTGAGAACTCTAGCTTTTGTGTACCTGTGAGAATTATTCAGAGATCTTTTTAAATACACTGATATCTAGGTCAAATGACCAAAAATTTTTATTCCAAGACAGCCAGTGATCTTCATTGTTTAAGCCTACTGGGTATTTATTTCTAACCAGAGTTCATCTGAAGCTTGTTAAAGGTTACTATCCCTGCCCCCACCACACACATATTTTTACTAAACTACATGCTTGAGCATCCAGCCTTGTCTCTGGAAGATTACTTTGCACCACCAGTACCAGAATAGGTGAGCCCTCAGAAGTACCAAATCCATGAAAACAGTCACACAACCTTTCAAATCTCTGGGACTTATCACTTTCTTTTGTTAGAAGGTTAGCTTATTAGGGGTAAGTGTAGGTGGGGTTTTCTGTACCACCAGTCAGCTCTGTCCTGCAAGCCAGCTCCCCAAATAACCACACATAGACTTATTAATTATATATGCTCAGCTGATAGCTTAGGCTTATTGTTAACTAGCTCTTAAATCTTAAATTAACCTATATTTCTCATCTACACTCTGCCACATGGCAGTACATTTTTTTAAGCTTGGCATGTTCATCTCCTTCTTCATCTGCATCTTGGTGGCAATTCTACACCTTCTTCCCAGTGTTTCCCAGTTTGGCTCTCCCACCTAACCTCTTCCTGCCTAGCTATTGGCCAGTCAGATCTTTATTGTCAATGAGAATAATTCATATTCACAGTGTACAAAAAGATTATTCCACAGCATTTCACCATTTTGTCTAATTAAAAAGGAAGTTTTTAATTTCAACATAATAAAACTATATATAACAAAAACAGTTATCAAGTAAGAATTATAGTTATAATATCCAGTTCATTTGTATTTGGCAAAATTAGAGAAAATATTCTATTATCTATCTCATCTTTTTGAGTCTAAAGTTGTATATCTTATTTACCTTTTATCATGACTAAGGGAAACTTTAAGTCTAATTATTTAGTCTTATCTCCATCAAAGACCCCAGAAGGGTATAATGTTACCTAACAATAGGAACATCTGGCAGCCTGGAAAGTCACCCAAAGTTCTTCTGTAATGTTGAGGCATCCATCTTTGGCCTATAGACCTAGTATATCTGACAGACATTTCTGAGAAACAGGGAATTTTGAAGGCTGTTCTACCTTGTCTTGGCAAAATTTGGCAGATGCTTTATTTTGCATATTGCTGGTCCAGTTTGGACAGTATACTGTCAGCAATTGAGGCAAGGGCAGTTTTTTGGTGTTGCTGTTGTTGTTGTTGTTGTTGTTTATCCAGTGGCTACCTTTTGCCACATAGAAAGCAAATTCCATATGGAGTTTCTTTGATGCACATCATCTTCTCTGAAGTAAATTGGTGCTACCAGGAACAGACATATCTCATTGTCATAAAAAGGACATATTATAGCCGGGTGGTGGTGGCACACGCCTTTAATCCCAGCACTTGGGAGGCAGAGCCAGGCGGATCTCTGTGAGTTCGAGGCTAGCCTGGGCTACCAAGTGAGTCCCAGGAAAGGCACAAAGCTACACAGAGAAACCCTGTCTCTAAAAACCAAAAAAAAAGACATATTATTAAAACATTTAAAATGCCATATTCTGTATATTTGAAGTGTTTGAAGATCACCTATCTATCTAAATATATCTGTGTATGACCTTGAAAACATCCCTAACATGACTATAAGTTTGATAGTATTGGGTGACTAACTTTTAGCCTGTATTTCTTTATTATCCTAAATAGCTTTCAAAGACTAAAACTTTGCATTACATAATTTTAAAAAAACTGCATAGGTACAATACCTTAAACAAAAATAGAAACATACAGATTTTTTTGGTTTCCAGTATCTGAAGAATAGGATTCCCCCAACTTTTGAAGGTAAAGAGAGACCTGTTTTGTCTTCCATGATGATGTATCACAGGGCAGACCTGGCTTTGCCACTTACCATTCCTGTGCAGGGGATATGTTTTTTAGCTCCATTGAACTTCATTTCTTTCTCTGTGAAATGAAAACCTGATTTGGTAATTGTGGAGTTTGGAAGTGATTATCAGTATAAAGTATTTCTCAAGATGCAAAGCATGTAGTAAGTGATTTGGGAAATGTTAACTTTTTATTTTTTGCTAATCTGCATTGGTGAATATACTATATGTTCTTCAACATCATCATTAAAGTTGATCCATACCTAGCAATGCATTCTAGACAATGACCTGGAAATATGCTTTATGGATGAGCACACCTATTTTCTTTTACCATTCCCAAATGTTCAGAGTAATGGTTTTGAAGTGTGGTCCCTACCCATTTCAGCATCTACTGGGAACTTGTTAAAAATGCAAATTCTTGGGCACCAGACCAGACCTACTGAATCAAAAACTGGGAAACAAGCCCAGCAAGCCCTTGAGGTTATCTGGATATATACTGGAGTTTGCAAAACATTAATTTAGAAGAGTCACTGCTTACAGAACATTTCACAGCCTGCGTCGGGATCCTCAGTGTAGCTGGACCACTGAGTCCTGACCAGGAAGGAGAAGAACAGCACCTTCCCTGCAGTTCATGTCAGATCTCTGAAGGACAAATGAAATTTGAAAATATGCCCAGAGATTTTTTACATGCCTGTAGGGCATGTTTCCTGTGGAGAATGTTCTTAATACAAACATCTGGCTTTAAGCTGTACTTTTGGAAGTATCCTGATACAAGCAACCTAACTGGAAAACATGCGGTATGTTCACCTGTCTGTGAGTACTTCCACAGCTAAAATTTTGTTCAGTGCATATGCCCTTAATTTTATAACTTAGAAATAATGAAACTGAGGATGAAATCTATGTATATAAGAAACACAACTTTGGTAACACAGGTTATCAAAGGGCAGGGATTTAAATCTGCATTACATCACTTGTAACTTACTCTTTCAGTTGGGTTTGCATTCCACATTTGTGTAGCTTCAGTTTATAGATATGTGCAATTAATAAAGTACAAAACAGTTTCAATTTAGTCATCCTACTATCGTCAATCATTTCACCATTGTGAGCATTGGGAATAATATTTCTCAGACTATAAAATGAAACAAAGAATGGGGAGTTTTTAGGTACAGTGATGGCTGACTCTGCCCCAAATAGCTATATAAATAAATTCAAAATAACAACAAAATTAAAGATAGTGGATAGAGTCAAAAAAGTTGACAATGAGTGGAGCACATTTGCCCCTTCAAAGAAGAGCACAAACCACCCTGATTGAGATTCATGCCAAACGTCTCATTCTGGGTAACAGCCTCTGAGTTCTCACCAGGACGGCAGCTGGTACTCGAAGCATGCTGTGCCTTACTCCAAGATGCACCAATAATCTGAACTTATGAGTACGTTGCCTTGTATGACAAAGGGGATGTTGCAGGTGGGGCTTAGAATATAAACTTGGAGATGGGAAACAATCCTGGATTATCCAAGCTATCTTGAATTTTTTTTCTTGTGGTACTGATGATAGAACAAATGAGATGTAATCACTTTACTGTTGAATCCCCACCTCAACCTCAGGTTCTCTTAATTTAATCACATGTACTTAAAAGCAGAGAAGCTTTTCCAGCTAGTATCAGGAATACAAAAAAGGAGGTAGAAATGCTCTGGTGTGTCAGCAGATGTCTTAATTTGTGTTTCTATTGCTGTGATACAACACCATGACCAAAATCAACTTGAGGAAAGAGTTCATTTCAGCTCACAATTCTCAGGTCACACTCCATCACTTAGGTAAGTCAGGGTAGGAACTGAAGCATAGGCCATGGGGCAATCCTGCTTACTGGCTTGCTCTCCATAGCTTGCCCAGCCTGATTTCTTACAGGACCCGTGGCCACTAGCCCAAGGGTACCACCACCACATTATGAGCTGGATCTTCTTATCAATCACTAATAAAGAAAATGCACCACAGGCTTCCCCACAGGGCAAACTGGTAGAGTAATCTTCTCAGTTGAGGTTCCCTCTTGCTAAATAACTCTACCTTGTGTCGGGTGACGTAAAACTAGTTAGTACAATGGACATGAGACCCTGTTGATAGATTTGAAAATAAAGGTCAGGGCCACAAGCTAAAGAATACAATGTCCTCTAGAAGCTAAGAATTATCCTGAGTGGACAGCAATAGTCAGCAAGAAACTGGTGACTTTGACTTTATTCTTACAACTTAGGAAGGACTGAACAGAATGGGTAAGGAAACAGATCTCTCTAAAGACCCTCTGCCCCTGCCAGTGCCTTGATTCGGTCTTGTGATTTACAAAAAGGAGCAACAGATAACCCATACTGCGTCTGCTCTGTGGATTCTGTGAGGTAATTACTTGTGGTTGGTTGTTTTTACTCTTTACTCTTAGTTCTTTGGGGGCCCATCACCCAGCTCCCAAATAAATGCACACACACACACACACACACACACAGAGAGAGAGAGAGAGAGAGAGAGAGAGAGAGAGAGAGAGAGAGAGAGAGACAGAGACTTATTCTTTCTTATGAATGCCCAGCCTTAGCTTGGTTTATTTCTAGCCAACTTTTCTTAAATTATTCTCTTTACCTTTTGCCTCTGGGTTTTTACCGTTTTCTATTTCTGTATATCTTTTCTTTACTTCTTACTCCATGTCTGTTTGTATAGCTGGATTGCTAGCCCCTGGTGTCCTCTTCCTTCTTTTCTCCTCCTATTCTCCTTCTGCCTGCCAGCCCTACCTATCCTATCTCTTGCCTGGCTATTGGACATTCAGCTCTTTATTAAGCCAATCAAGTGTTTTAGACAGGCAAAGTAACACAGCTTCACAGAGTTAAACAAATGCAACATAAAAGAATGCAACACATCTTTTTGTCATTAGACAAATATTCTACAGTATAAACAAATGTAACACATCTTAAGCTAATATTCCACAACAATAACTGTCTGTTGTTTTAAGCCACCAAACCAATACTGAAGAGCATGTATCAATATTTTTAAAGACTTTAATGAGCAACAAATCATATTTTGCACCAAATTGGATCACCTTTTGTGGATGAAAGTGAACTAAACCCCTTTTAAACAAATGACAGCCAAGATTTGAGACCAGCCACAAACACTATGAGATGACAAAGGATGTTGTATAAAAGGAAAAGAAATGACCCAAGCTTGAATCCCAAATCTGGGGGAAGAAACAAGTGAAGAAGACCAGAAATGGCTAAAATTAAAGGAAATGCAAATGGTTTTTCTTCATTTCTCTGACAGATAACTGAATTGTACTACCAAGTGTCAGCCTTGCATTATGATGTATAAGTGGGTGGAAAGCCAACAGAAACCTTAACACAAAGGGTGAGAGAGGCTAGGAGAGCTAAAGAGTTTTAAAATCTTTGTGCTTATTGTGATGTAGTGTGTCATGAATTCCAAACAGGTTATGACAATGCTTGCATTGATGTGTATGGTAATCTCTAAAAAGTACATAAGAACATAAGCTAAAAATCTCTTAGTGTGGTTACCAGGGGACATGAAAATTTGTCTGTCCAAAAGAAAGCAGGAGACAGAGGTTGGAAGTATCCAAATTAAATGTAATAGTAAATATAAATACAATTGTTTCAATAATTACATTGAATGTTATTGTTGAAGTTCATTTTGATGGAATAACTAAAAAAGTGACATTAACTTTCATACTGTCTACAAGACATTTAGCATCAAAGGCATAGCTAAGTTTTAAGAATTATGGAAAGTGATTTGGCATATAGACAGTATATATAAGAAAGTTGATGTGGTGTATTAATGTCACACAGGTATGTTTAGGACAAGAAGTATGATAAGTGATAAAGGTATATCATAAGGATAAAAGTGTTAACACATCATTTATAAGGCAGAGCAAGCCATCAACAAACACTCACTCTATGGACACCTTAATCTTGGATTTCACAGACTTTAGAACTTGGGCAACAAATGTCTGTTATTTATGTCACTTATGTACTTTTTAAAGAGAAGCAAAAATGGAATAAGAGAGCTATGCAGTGTAAAAATGGGTAACCCTTACTTGTGAAAATGAGTCACAGCAGTGGTTCCCTCTGAGGGAAAGATGACCAAAAGGATAGATGCATGGGAATATTATGTATCATTCATGCTGCTTGTGCTTTATATCAGTATATTTTATCAAAATTCATCATTATATACTCAATGTGTGGTTTTTCCCATATATAACTTTGAACATCCATCCCACCCTCCAATACAGTGAATGAGCAGCAAGAACTTGAAACTGACAGCTAGATCATTAAAATAAAATCAGGTCGCAGGGTGTTAGTGTGATATGGATGCTACTGACTCTGAGAAAATATAGTTTACTATACATTTGACATCTCTCATAGATCAAGCATCACACATAGGAATCAACTGGTTTAGAACATTTGAGTATTAATACATTCTCTTTTGTAATGGATGTTGACTCATTGGCCTCTGTGACTCCTCTCATCCCTGCCACCTTGGTGGTCAATGTAGCCAGTTGGGCCCATTTTGCACATTGAGCTCCACAGTCAACAACATGACTTCCTCACTGCATTTGGTTATTTCTCTGAATGCATTTTCCCAATGTAGGACTTTGATGTAAGAATTTCTCTAATATAGAGTAGCTTACTATTATTTAAGTGAAATACGACCTGTTGCTTGTAGTTGGACTTAAACAAAAAGTTAACCTTGAATAAAAAATTGAGACCAATTAAATATTTCACCCAAAGTCCCCATTTTGGCTAATATAAAAGACAGAGCAAGCAAGCCAACCAAATTATATATTTCAGATCTATTTTTCAACCAAAGGATGGTTATTCATTGTAATATACAATGAAGAAAAATCTAGCAAAAGTTGATTAAAAAAACTTTCAAATTTATTGAGTTTCAAGGTAAGTCATTTTTAATTACATGAAGCTTTGTGCTAAAGAGCAAGGACATTCCTGTAGATGTAATAGCTTCCTGGCCCTTGCTCTTCTGCTATCACTTTTTACAAAATCACATGTGATGTAAATGCAATTGGACTGATAGGTGTTTGG